CTACTGTCATAGACTTAGTCGGTCACAGGCATTAGTAGGAATTACATCACAGGCAGTAGTAGTAGTTACAACACAGGCATTAGTAGGAATTACATCACAGGCAGTAGTAGTAGTTACACCACAGACATTAGTAGTAGTTACAACACAGACATTAGTAGTAATTACATCACAGACATTAGTAGTAGTTACAACACAGACATTAGTAGTAATTACATCACAGACATTAGTAGTAGTTACAACACAGACATTAGTAGTAATTACATCACAGACATTAGTAGTAGTTACAACACAGACATTAGTAGTAATTACATCACAGACATTAGTGGTAGTTACAACACAGACATTAGTAGTAATTACATCACAGACATTAGTGGTAGTTACAACACAGACATTAGTAGTAATTACATCACAGACATTAGTGGTAGTTACAACACAGACATTAGTAGTAATTACATCACAGACATTAGTAGTAGTTACAACACAGACATTAGTAGTAATTACATCACAGACATTAGTGGTAGTTACAACACAGACATTAGTAGTAATTACATCACAGACATTAGTAGTAGTTACAACACAGACATTAGTAGTAATTACATCACAGGCATTAGTAGTAGTTACACTCTAGCAGTTTTGATGAATTTCTCTCATTACACACTGAAATACAGTCAAAATCAAACAGAGTTGAGAAAGGTGGATGTTTTATTCCACTTTAGTGTAAATCAGTAAAGTTCATGAATTTGTAATGATTTCACTGGTGCCAAAGATTCTAGAAATGCAGAATATATTCCAATTTTTATTGAATCTGTTCTATAATTTTTTGAATTTTGTCTGAATTTTTCTACTGATGAATTTTTTTCTTCTTGTAATGGAGACAGACCAAAGGGACTGAAAGATATGTCTAGCCATACAATATTCATTTCATTCATTTCAAATTCAGTTATTCATTCCTTTATTCATTCATTCATTCTTCCATTCATTCATTCCTTCATTCCTTCAGCAAGTGTATCTGAAGTGATCATCTGAAGTGATAGTGAAGAAGTCT